AAAAAAAAATTCTCCCTGCCCCTTACTGTATCTTTATTTCAGGCTTTTCAAATAACTTGCTCATCTTGATGTTTGTGATTATTATCTGGTTTACTAATAAAAATTTATCAGACATGAAAAAAAATACTCTTCATAAAGATTTTACTTGCATGTGATATTAGTGATATTGTTTGATAATGTCCGCACTGTGTAGGATCACCTCTTTTTTGGAATGGGAATAAATATGGGTCTCTTCCAGTCAGTTGGCCATGTAGTTGTCTTCCAAATTTTCTGGCATAAACAAGTGACCATAATCCACAACTGTATCTGTTTGTTGAAACACCTAAATTGGTATTTCATCAATTATAGGGCTTTATTTTCTGTCAAGGATTTCAGTGCAGCTTGAACTTCTTCCTTTATCACCACTGGTTCTTAGTTGTATGCAACTCCGTGAAAAGATTTCATGTCCACCAAATCTTTTTGGTATTCTATTTGGTGACTATGTATTCCTTCCACCTTCTTTTGATGCTTCCTGCATCACACAAGATTTTGCCATAGAATCCTTCAGAATTCCAACTTGAGGCTTGTTCTTCAGTTCTCTCAGCTTGAGAAAATACCGAGCATATTCTTTTTTTTTGTTTTCTAACTCCATCTATTTGCATGTTTTATAAGATTGCTTTGTCTTCTCAAGCTGCCCTTTGAAATCTTCTCTTCAGCTCTCTGACTTCAGCATTTCTTCCCTTATTTTCACTTCTTTACATTCTAGTGCAAGTTGCAGAGTCTCTTCTGACATCCGTTTTGGTCTTTTCTTTCTTTCCTGTCTTTGTAATGGCCTTTTGCTTTTTTCAGGCATAACATCTTTGATGCTATCTCATAACTCATGTTGTCTTTGGTCATTAGTATTCAGTGCACCAAATCTATTCTTGAAATAGTTTTTAAATTCAGCTAGAACTGATTAAAAGTTGTATTTCGGTTCTCATGGACTTGTTTTCATTTTCTTCAACTTCAGTTTGAGCTGGTATTTCAATAATTGATAGTCTCCTCCACTGTTATCCCCTGGCGTTATTGTTTGGGTTGTTTCTTCTTTATTGCTATTTTAACGAAAGTTTACAGAAAAGTTGGATTTTCATTCATTCATTCTTACATATTTTCCTCCCTCACCATCCCCAGTTCACTTTTTAAAAAAAATATTTGTTCATTGTTGCATAATTTCCTCCTTTCCTCCCACCCCTTCACTTTGCAGTGCACCTCTTATTTTGGACTGTTGTCATACAGATAATGCCTAATCATATATTCCTTCTATAGAGTTCTTTTCTTTATCCATTCCAATGCAGTGTTCAATATCCATCCCTTCTTTTCCTAGTTTCCCCCCCAATCCTCCATGTCATTCCTGTTTTATAACAGTGCTGTTATGCAGTTTTTGTCCTTTTGTGACTAAGATACTTCACTCAGCTTAATGTCTTCCAGGGTCACCTATGTTGTGTAATGTTTTACAAGTTTCTTTGTTTTTCAGTTCCACATAGTATTCCATTGTGTGACTATACCCTGGGTTTTCTATCCATTCATTTATTATGGGCACTTAGGTTGCTTCCGTCACTTTGCTATTATAAATAATGCAGCAATAAATATGGATGTGCATGTATCTGTTTGGGTGGCAACTCTGGTTTCCTTAGGGTATATTCATAGTAGTGGAATTGCTGAGTCAAATGCTATTTCTCTTTCCAGCTCTTTGAGAAAGCACCATACCGCTTTCCACAGAAGTGGCACCATTTTACACTCCTACCAGCAGTGAATAAGGGTTCCAATTTCTCCACAACCTCACCAGCATTTGTTGTTTCTGCTCTATTGAACTTTGCTATTATTGCTAGGGTGAGATATGTCATAGTTGTTTTGATTTGCTCTCCCTAAGAACTAGAGGTTTTGAACATTTGTTTGCTATCAGAATTTCTTCGTTGGTGAAGTGTCTATTCCTATTCTGTGCCCATTTTGTGATTTGGTGGTTTACCTTTTTCTTGTTGAGGTCCTGGAGTATTCTATGTTCCTTATCAGATTGCCAAACGTAGTCTGTGGGTTTCCTTCTTAGCCTGTTGGAGAAGTTTTTTGTTGTGCATAGGGATTTGATTCTTAGAAGGTCCTATTCATCTATATTATTCTCTCCTCGTTGTAGGTTTTTCAAGGTGCTTGGAAGACTGTATATTGTGGATTAGAGCTTCTAGAGTTCATCTAAGCTTTTCTGTGATGAAGATTATAGCCCTTGATTTTAGTCCTAGATTCTTGACCCACTTTGAGTTGATTTTGTGTGTTGTGTGTGTGTGTGTGTATGTGTATGTTGTGAGGTGTGGGTCTTTCTTGAGTTTTCTATAGATGCTTTTCCAATTTTGCCAACATCATTTGTTAAACAGACTGTCATTTTCCCATTTAACAGATTTTTTTGCCTTGTCATAGTAGATGATCTGATTTCTGGGTTCTCAGTTATGTTCCATTGATCTGTGTGTCCGCCACTATACCAGTATCAGGTTGTCTTGACCGCCATGGCGGCTGTGTAGTAGGATTTGAGATCAGGGAATGAGATGCCTCCTACTTTGTTTTCCTTTCTCAGGAGTGCTTTGCTTATTGGGGGGTCCCTTTCTATTCCAAGTAAAATTGGAAATTGCCTTTTTCGTCTTGTTAAAGAATGGAATGGTATCTGTTTTGAGGTTGCATTGAAGTTGGAGATTGCCTTTGGTAGACTTGTTATTTTCACAATATTAAGTCTTCCTATCTAAGAGCATGGTATATTCTTCCATTTCTCCAGGTCTCTTTTTGTTTCTTGTAATGATGTTTTGTAATTTTTTTGAACAGGTCTTTGATGTCTCTAGTTAGATATACTCCCAAGTACTTAATCTTGTGATTAGCTATTGTGAAGGGTATTGTTTTTCTTAGCTTCATTTCTGTATTCTCTTTGTCACTGTAGAGAAATCCAACTGATTTTTGTATGTTGATCTTGTATCCTGCCACTTTGCTGAATTGGGCAACTATGTCCACTAGTTTTCTCGCTGAGTCTTTGGGATTTTCTAAGTATACTATAATATCATCTGCATGTAGATATAATTTTACTTCCTCTTTGCCAGTTTGGATACCTCTTCTTTTCTTGCCTGATTGCTATCACAAAGGCTGCCAATACAATATTGAATAAGAGATGTTTTAATGGACATCCTTGCCTAGTTCCTATTCTCAAAGGGAAAGCATTTAATCTCTCCATTGAGAACAATGTTGACTCTTGATCTCTCTATTCCTATTTTGCTGTGTATTTTAATCAGAAGAGGGTGTTTTCTGCATCAATTAATAGGACCATGTGGTTCTTGTTTTTTGCTTTGTTAATGTGATGAATTACATTGTTTTTCTTATGTTGACCCATCCTTGCATACCTGTTATGAATCCCACTTAGTTATGGTGAATTATTTTTTATTCTATTGGCCATAATTTTATTGAGGATTTTTGCATCTATCTTCATTAGAGATATTGCCCTGGCCTTGTTTTGACTGCTAATATTGAACATCTCCATTTGCTCTTTCTACAGATATAACCAGTCTGATACCTGTTTAGTCCATTAAATGAGGCTCATGTGTATAGTCACCTTTTATGGTATTTTTTTAAAAAAAATATTTTCAATGAATAAATAATCGTTGGGCAAAATTTAGTCATTCACTCTCCAGCCTCTTTTCTCCAAGGCCATATTTTCCAACTTACTTTGAACTTCTAATACCCATATTTACCAGTCCTTCTTTGTTTCTACCTTTTTTCATTCCTGTCATCAGTTATTATTAATACATCTGGATTGCATGTTCAATTTCAGACTCCAAAAGCTAAGTTCCCTTTATTTTTTCAGGATTTCAAGGCACTGCTTTTCAGGAGACACCTAGACTTTATGGTGATTTTTAGGGGGAAACTATCTGTTAGTAGGGTCAAAAAATGCAGAAGAGAATGGTCCTCCAAGTACCAAGCCATAGCAAGCCGAGGAGAGGAAGAAGAAAGAGGAAGTGAGAGGGAAGAGAGAAAGAATTGTGGCTTACTGGTCTTGAGAGAGGAGACAGTCCTGAGAGTCATGAAAAGGCCACTGGAGGTGAAATGGGCTGTGCTCCAGCTGTCATAGCCAGGGATGAGGAAGTTATTCGGGCAGTTATGGTAAGCAGCACTTACTTCTTACTGAGGGTGTCCAAGCCCAATGTGGTGGGGTGTCAGACAAAAATAGGAGACTCCATGGACTCCAGACATGAGCTAGCCATTTGGGACATTTGTCCTTAGTAGGTAGGCTTGCAAGGGCCTATATGCTGCTTGCCATACTGTGAGAATTTTGGAAATGAGAAATGAGTACTTAAGTCTTAGATCCATCTTTTCTTCCTTCTCAGGTTACTTCCAACTTGGGGAAGTTGATCTTGAAAGAAGAGATGGAGAAGTCATTGCCAATCCGGAGGAAAACCCGATCCTTGCCCGACCGAACACCCTTCCATACCTGTGAGTGCCCTGGAGAGGGGCTGAATCTGAGGCATGAATCTGTTGGTCTATAGTATTTATCGTATGCCTGGCACTGTGCTACTATGGGTATAAGAGACACATATGATGTGGCTTCTGACTGATTAAAAGTACACACACTTTCCTTAGGAAAATGCTGACTGCAATAAGAGTGCAAACGGTCATTGCAAAGACAGAAGAGGAAGAAAAGACCAAAATGGATGTCAGAAGAGACTCTGAAAATTGCACTGGAGCGCAGAGAA